AGTTATACTAATTTCCGATACTTAGAGGCAACCCGTCCGATTAAGGCTTCATGCAAGATGCGGACGTTAAACATGGATGAGAAGTATAGATCTTCTGGTGGTCCTACAGTCCCTTCTGTGTCACTTGATAACAAACGTGGTAATTTTTTTTTATGTGGCATATCTTCCGCTAAAGCCATTAGGCTCTAAAAAGAGTTGCCTCCGAGCTTAGAAGATATTCGTAACAAAATTTTGCATATTGAAAACAGGTTAATTCCACTAAAATATTTAACAGCATTCTAATTACCGGTTATGCACCCTCTTAGTGGTACGACTTCCAAATCTTCCCTTCAAGAAAAAAGAATAGCTCGCCAACTGACCTTAATTCCTACAGATGTATTGTCTTAGTTTCCGCCCTGAAAAAAATTTTCGTGGAGGTGTTATACTCACTTAGAATGATGTCTCAAATTTAAATGTCTCGTCATCACTTTTCAAATTGGTTTTAGGCGTTACAGACCTGCCCATGTCACTGTGTTGTCTGTAATCAACTCAGCATTTGGTAAGAATCACATTCTCGTTACCTGCTTTCTGAACATAGCCTCAGCGTTTGAATCTCCCTACGAAATTCTATAATATATTATATAAACTTTTTCTCTGTAAGAACATGTTAAATAACAACGATGATGTTGTTGTACAAAGGAGATCTTTCCAGGCGTTACTCAAAGATCTGCATAGAGTGCTCTTTGTTTTATTTTATATATTACAAACATTTCAGTTTCCTTCACATGAGAACATCTCAATTTTGGACTATGCCGACGATCTTGTTGTTCTTGGTTCCAACGCTGATCTAGAAATATGCACGCGTGCTTTGCAAACTGCCCCCGACAGTATTTTCTCCCAACTCAAGTCGCTCCAACTCACTCTTTCAGTTAATAAGATCAAATGCGTGGGTTTTCAAAAAAAAAAGAATAGACCCTACGGTTACTCCTCTTCTCGTACATGGTTCTTCTACTCTGTTTGTTAAAACTTTCGACTTTTTGGGCTTTGTCCTTTCTTTCTCCGCTTTCAACTCATTGAGGTATTTTGAATTAATTAGACCAAAATTAGAAAATTCTATCTTCTAAGAATCATCCGCCTTTACCTTTCATTTACAACTTTATATATCCTTAAATTTTTAAAATTTTTGCTTTCAAAACTTAACTTCAACTTTCTAAGAACTGATATATAGCTTATTCAAAAGTCTCCTTGGTTCTCAATACTTTCGACCTGCAATTAGTCAATACCAAATAGAAATAATTTTCGCTCATTTTTACTGATGGATCTAAGACCGATGTTATAAGCAGTGTCGTTCGGTTTCACAGATATTAGCATAGAAGCATACCTGCCAAATTACCCATATGGCACTATATTTTTGACTGAATGTCTTGCGATCCTGGAAGAGATCCGCCTAGCGAATACTCAGCCTCAAAACAAATTCGTTACATTGTCAGACAGTAAATCTGTCTTATCCGCCTTACAATCATTTCCCTCACGCAAAATTCACCCCTACATATTAGAAATCAGTTCTTTACTTTATAACCTCAAATTTGATAAGTTTTATTTTCACTTTCTGTGGGTGCCCAGTCACAAGGGCATTCTTGGCAAAAACACTGCAGGGAAAATTGCACCTTCTGCGGATTTAAAGGCAATTGACGAAAAGCATTCAGTTCTTTCTTGGTATAATTCACCTTATGGTTGCTATTGACACTCTTTATTTTCACAGATAAGTAAAGCTCCTTGGTTTATCGATTGCGGTCTTAGACGTGACATCATTTGCGTTATTAAGAAGCTGATGTTTACTCAGACGAGATGTAATGCTCATCTATTCAAAATTAATATAATAAGCAGCTCTTTATGCACATGTGGAGTCTTACGACCTTCTGATCATATCCTATTTATCTGTCCGAATTTTACCACTTCTATTCGCCATTCCACATTTCGCAAATTAAGTATATCTGGTCTTCCTAACCACAGCATGCTTAACATTTTACATTCTCACAATTTAACAGCTTACTTCGCAATCTTTTCTTTTTTTAAATCGTTTCAACAAGGCATATAAACGTTTAAAAAAATATATTCAATATAAGATACGGTGAAGTATTTCTTAATCGTTTTTTCAATTAAGCAGGCGGTTGTTTGCAAATGCAGACTGACTTTTTCAATTTTTCTCAATTCTAAACAAATACAGAGTAACTTTTTATACGCTTACTCTCGCATGCACTCAATTTTTATACAAATACTTGAACAATATTAAAAATTGTAAACAAATTGCACTCTTATTCTCACATCGTTGGAATTATTGAGAATATATATGCTTACTCCATAAAGGCAGCAAATTTTATACAAACACATGTTTCGAATTTAATAGTCCGACTAGATTCCTTAAGCTTTTCAAATGTAACATATTGGTGTTTTAATCGGAATTATCAGAAAAGATTCCAATCCTTCACATTCGCCGCACAGTAGTCGACACAGCTTTGAAGGCAATGTAAGTCCCGATCAAAATGTGCGTCAATCTAAGTTAAACGTTTCCGTAGATAATATCGAACCTAAAAACAAAATACTTGAAAGAAAAAATCGACGTTCCAGTGTTCACGATGAACGCCGACGTCAGTCTTATTAGGGTGCTATGCACGATAAAGAAACTATGACAGTTAGATTATGAACCTACTCTCTTTTGCCCTTTTTTACTCTCACACTCATCAATTTCTTCATATGACACTTTATACTCATGTACTATATTACTTCTTACACAAAGGAATTTATTCCTCGCTTATCTGTTCTATCCTACGTGGCGGACGAACATGCATCTTTTAATACAAATTTAAAAAAAAGTTACGTGACGGACATATAACACGAACAATCAAGAAAACTTTAATCTAGCAAACACTAAAATATATAAATAATAATATTATATATCAAATTTAACGACACATTTACTAACGCTCAAACCAAGAACTATGTCTTCGCATTGAGACTTTTGTAAACATCTCAGCGAATTTTCGATTGTTGATTTACTCAATAACAGAAGAATATAATTATTTTGCATATTCGATTCAGAGCAAGCAAGAGACACCGTATCAAAAATTTACAAAACACGATTTACTTCATAACGCTTGCCATCATCAATTTTATGAAAAAATAGACATGGATAATATTCCTGTAGTTACAAATAAAAAGAATTAATACTTTAATTTGAAATATAGTTACTTTTTTATTTTAAAGCCTATCTAGATAGAATCACCTGACTCTATACCTGCCCAAGAGGAGCCACAATCAAGGCAGAATGCTTAATAAAAATGCAAAGAGATAAGTAAAGGATATTGCGTATTTTTTTTTTCTTTTTAGTTTATAACAATTGATAATTTATTTGAAAGCTGATTTAAATTGTCAAGTATATAAACAAGAACAGACGCAGGAGGATAATATCCATTTGGAATCACATGAGAGATGTATTACTATATCACTACACAAGTCTAATTATATTTCCGCGTAGCTAAAGGATTCAACTCCCAACGTCCAAAGTAAATAGTTTCATTCCCTTTTTAGCAAAAAGAATGGGTGTGTAACCAAATAATGACAGATCCTTAAGAAGTCTTCTCTTTCAGTCTTCGCGGACGAAATCTTACAATTAAACAGATATTTGGTAGCTAAAGTGAAACATTTCCCCAATTCGAATCACTTTCGGAACGACTACTTCCTTAAGTACCTTCGGAGTGTACAAAATATTATATTTATAGAATTATATTATATATATAATATAGGTATAATAACATCTGTTGTGTTTTCTTTCTTTTTAGTAGCTGCTGGTCCTTGCCTTATTTTTATTTGGTATAAATAAATTTTATTATACCTTACTAATAAGGTTTTTTTAACACATTTAGCTGGAATGAAATATCCCTTAATTTACATAGCTTATGTACATATAGTTGTGTTAAAAAAAGTAGCAATCGCATGACCTTTATGTCTTTTGTATTCATTTTGTTACTTTTTTTCGAAAATTGCAATTAAATAAACGTGGACATTGATCCGCATGTACTGCTAGAACCGGTCAAACCAAGCATGACGTCTGAAGACCTCCAGCAACGACATCATTGAAACCGTAAGAAGAAGCAATAAGATCCGTCTTCATCCCGCTTTAAAATCTAACGAACTGCTCATTGCATTTTGTAGTTATATCAAGGATCAAGCCTCTTGAAGGCTCTGATAAAAAAAATCTCGCATCAGCAAGAGAAAAGATCTCTAATATTCCAAATCTAAAGATCTCGAATCTCCTCTTTAAAGATGTGGTGCATATTTCAAATAGAGCCATTAACCGAAACGGTTTTTGTTTTTGCACCCTAATTATAATATCAAAGAAAGACATCTTAACTTTTGGCAGGTAACAATCTTGTTCTTAAAGATTAAAAAAAAAAGAAACAAAATTACTCTCCTCTTTGCATTTCTTGTAAAGGATCCGCAAAATAAAAACCATTTTGTAAAATTTTGAAAATTTTTATAAAACGTATATTGAGGCTAACATGAAAATTTTCAATAGAACTAAAAGATAATAAATCATCATTATCATATATACGGTACTAAAAAAAAATGGGTTCCGAATATCACAACATGTTTAAAAAGAACCTCATTTCCCATTGAAACGAAGAAAATAAATGTCGAATAAAGATTAAATAATATAAGCAAATCCTATTTAAGTTTAATAAAATATTGCTTCTTTCTTTTGATTTAAACGTTGCTATTTTTTCAAACACATTTGTATAAAGTGGTAACGCTCTCTCAGTAAAGAGAAAACTGGTTTGTTGTTGTGCTTATTTACATTTCATAGAAACGATGAATCGTATACAATCGCCACACAATCGCCCTTTTACTACACTAAAATGCTAACGAACAAGTTTGTATGTATATGAATGTACGAATTGTTATACATACAAATCTATGAATAAGAACGAAAGAAAAATGCATACTGTTTGGAATTTTCAGTTGATTACTTACTCTCCTTGTGTTTGGATGATGTACATATGCATACGAACGTATGCATGTTAGTGAAATTTTCTGCTATGGGAGAAGAATATATTCTGAGAAAAAAATATTGCCAAGTATTCATATAATTATATGTCAAATTAAAAATTCACTTAATTATGAACGAAGGAGAAAATTTCAATGCTTTAAAACAGTTATTGTCATCATGGGGAGTAGAAAACTTATATGATTTATTCAAAGGTATGTTACTATAAGCGTTATAGAGTTTTATTTTTGCACATAGGTATTTAATATGAATTTGTTTTTTTTTTCCTTTTCAGAAGAAGGGATTAATATTGAGGAACTTCAAATGATGAAATTGCATCATATAAATCATTTGCTAAGAAATCATAGACTGGGTACGCGAATACGTTTCGAATACCATTTAGAAATTTGGCGAAAGCAAATAAATATACCGTTGGAAAATCAAGAATTGAATTCATTATGCTTTTGCAAACCGAGCGTTAATGTAATCAACAGACACGAAACTGCTATCTGCAACGGAAAAGACGATATTTCCTTCGCAGATAACGCAACGAATGAAGGTCTTACAACCGAGACCGTTGCCGAAAATATTGAACTAAATGATGCTCATTCTTCGGAGGCGTCGCATCCCAGTACATCGAAAACTCCAAATAAGGAAATCTTAGAGGAGCGTCAAGAAAGTGATACTAAAAAACCTTCGGAGGAACCTCAAAAAGATTTATCTAAAGTAACGACTAGGGCTAAAAGTGCCGAAAGCCGCCCAATATCTTTACGTCAAATCCTTCGCTTAGCCGGACCGCGTGGAATGTCGATTATTAAATACTATCAACAATATAAAAAATTCACTACCGCCCATCGTACTCAATTAGTTCACACAATAGTAGATTTCTTTGATATTCATGATTTTCATTTATCGCTTAATACAAGTCACAATTTAGAAAATCAAATATTGAATATGTTTCCCACTGAAAAATTAGAATATTATCGTACAGAGAAACGTGGGAAAATCTATGTAAAGTTTTGTAATATGAAACGTTATAAACGTGATAGAAATGTAACGAAAAGCAAATCGGAAGAACCTCAACTTCTTCCAAAAATTACCAGTGACAATGAAGGCAATTCGAACGATACGAATTGCAATCCGTGGGACTTGATGGAAACAGAAATTCAAGTAAAATCCGAGTGTATTAGTAATGATGGCAATGACGGAGTCATATAAGAGTCATATCGAAACTCGATATAAACAGTATGTATAGAATGCATAAAATTAATGAATGTTGTTATGGTTCGCGGAACTTATTTGAAAGAGAAATTCATATAAAACACGAATGTATAAGTAGTAAGTTTTATAAAAAATTGGTTATGTGGGAAATCGTATGAGTAGAGTGCATTATTTTGATGAATTCATTCGTATAGTATTACTTTTTAAATAAATGAAATTAATCCGGGAGCTATTTTTTCTCAAAGTTCTCTTTTTTGCATGTTACATGATTTAAACATTATTCATAAACCAAATAAAGCTACAGTCTCTAGCACTCAGATAAATCTATTAACTGTCCATTTAAACATTATTCATATATCAGCTATGCCTATATTCACCAACATTAACGTCGAGCTATTTATTATATGTAATAGGTAAAGTTATATAAGTTGTATATAATATTTAAGAATACCGTACACCAATATCAATCCTATGGATTATTAATATGTTTTTTAAAAAAAATCATTTATTGTCCAATGCAAAAGACGTTAAATTAACGTCAACATTATGAAAAACTGTCATCGGATCTTTCCTGGTTTATTTTGCAACGATTAAAACTTATGTTAATTAAAACGAACAAAAACCCGGACTGTACGCTTAGTAAAGTGACTTTCTTACCACAATTTCACAAGGGCTGAAATGGATGAAGAGTCAAAATTTATACTATACATATGCGTTTTCTGTGTCCATTTAGACTACAATAAGAAAACATTCATAAAGAAATACAGTGGAGTCCAATTGGAATGTGGCGCTAGTTAGGAACATAAAGTTAGTCTCTGGTGTGCAAAGGGAATGATGTGCGCGTCTTATAGAATTTTGTGGAGGACTTAAACTAATATATTAAATCAGTGAAATGAGAAAATTTTGAAATTCCTTTAAAAACAAGCAAAAGCATTACAGTAGACCGCTCCACATTATAAAATAGCCTGCACAACTACTCTTAATACAATTATTCATATAACAATTATTGGAAATAAGGTGTTGTATGAGAAGTGATCGAGAAATAGTCGGAACATTTTTAACAATGTGCGTCCTTAGTCGCCGCACCAAATTTCAACAGAATATCTTAAAAATTGAGACATTTAGATTGACCACTAGAATAAAAGACGGACGGACAAAAACAGTCTAATAAAAGATAAGTTAATGTCAAATCTTTCTATATATTGCGTACATCCGTATAAACCTCAAAAACAGCAGTACAATGACTGTTTAAAGCATGTTTACTAAAGCTTATTGTCATTAAAATTTCTAAAAAAAAAAGAGTTTTTCAACTAATTATAAACAGAATGACAAAATTAGTATGTTTTCTTTGCATAGCATTAAAAGACCAGAATACCAAAATTGCACGAACGAGTACTGCGAAGCATAGCCAAATTAAGTACTCGCATATTAAATCAGTCACAGTTCGTACGTTATCAAGTAGTTTCGTTAGAAAAGTACGTTCCTGCGTTTTGTGAAAAATATAAACATATAAATAGTTGTTATCTGTATGTGGCATTTGTATTAACTGATAAAAAAACATATTAATCACATTTTCAAATTACCATCCATAACTACGGATATGTCACCAAATATGCAAAATAATGTTTTAGAGCTGAAACACTTGCTCTCTGAATGGAAAATTGAGTATTTGTTACCACATTTAAGCGGTAAGCTATACAACTACGTATATAAACATATGCATTCGTAAATTTATATGTACATATGTATCTATAGTCGCTGTCTAGATGTGTGTTTTTTTACTTTGTTTGAAGTAACCGATAAGTGTTGAGTGAGTTGTACAGCACTAGCTAGAGTTGCCAGGCTATTATAGGCGTTACATTTGATTTGATATAATTAACGATTTTTAGTGCAGGAGTTTTATTTTGCATGTCTGGTTTTTATTATTTAACTCCGTGGTTCTGTACATGTGCATAACATTACAAGATATATAAGATGTATTTATTGCGATATCAGATATGGGCATCCATGCAAGCATATATGAACAAATGGGGTCTTTATAGGTTGCCATGTATTCTTTTCTAGATAGCTTTACCTTATGTCCCGTAATAGTATTTATATACGCAGTTTTTATAAATTCCGCAATCATATTTATATATATATGTATATATATATTTATACTAGCATATGAAAGTTCTTCAGAGTATACAATCCTTACATTGGTTGAAATATATAGGGTAATTAGCAGCAGAGTAACTAAATAAATAAAAACATTTTCCACGGACAAAGTATATAGCAAAAAAAGGCCACTGCTTAAGTTCTCTTTAAAATTGTTAAAAAATTTTTAACCATAGTGTGTAGTTTCGAATTTGATTTTCTTGAATGTTTAAACAAATTATCTAATATTATTATTAAAATATATAATATTTTATTATCAGTATTCGAATTTTTCTATATATATTTTATTTATTTATTTATTTATAGTCATATATATTTATTTGATTAATTGATCTTACAGCTCAACGTGTGAATATCGAAGTTTTGGAAATGATGAAAGAGTCTCACATAAAGCTACTATTGCATAGTTATCCGATCGGAGATCAGATACGTTTTGAATATAATTTAGAAAAGTGGCGTCTTGATATTGGTAAACCTCTGATCTTTAATAAAACTGAGGAAATAAATGCAACAACACCTCCATCGGAAAGTAAAGCCAAACATTGGGAAACAAATGCCATTCAAGATATCGAAATGCCAATCAAGTTAAATAAAGATGGGGACATTAGAAATATAAAGGAAGAACAATCATACGATCCCTTAGCCGGTCCACTAAATACTAGTAACCTTGTTATATTGCCGTCATCGTATGCAGCCAAGTCTAGTAAACCTATGCCATACACAACTAAAGCCCACGGTCCGATACCGAAAGTAAATATTAAGGAAATCCTATTAAGCTGTAAACCGGCAGGACCTGAATTAATAAAAATCTATCGTACGCAAAAGTTTTTTACTAAATCCGAGAGAGCTAGACTTATTAGCACTATTGTAAGTTATTATTTGGATAATGAAATTCATTTAAACCTACAAACAAGTTACGCTTTGGAGAAAGAAATTCTTAAAATGTTTCCAACAGAAACTTTAGACATGTATCGCCAGGCGAAACGTGGCAAAATTTATATGCGCTATGGCAGTGCCAAATGGATTTACAGTAAACATAAGCGCTTAGCGGATGAAGCGGTTAAAAAAATGCAAGACCGTGAGGAAAAACAAAATAGTGATAACAATCCCGATATTTCCTCTGAAGAAGGTGAACAAACTTCAACTGTTATAACAGAAAATGCAGGTTTCGATTTAAAAAAATATAAACTACGTTCAGTAACAAACAATGAAAACGCCGAAATTAAAAACGACGATAAACGTATCCATGTCATACAAGATGTGTTGTTGCAAAATATTCAAAATGATATAAAACATTGAGTTTTTTAGTATATATATTATTTTGCGATTTTTAAAAAATATTAAAGTACGTACGGTTATTATGCTAAAAATTTCAAAATATTCTTAAAAGATACATTTAATTGACATCAGTAAAGGTAAAATAATAATAAAAAAAAAAAGTACACATGTGCATATCGCTGATGAAAGCTGAGGACATATTTTTATACCGTGAAGATCAGCAAGAAGGAAAGAGTGAATGAAGTTTGAGTAGAAAAAGCAAGTGAAAAAGATCACAAAAGGGATGGAGAGGTTGTTTAAAAGTGCTCCGCATATATTCACTCTTGCGCAAGAATTTTCCATTTTTCCTTTGGCTTGCGGTTGAGCATTTTGTACTTCCTTGATATCCTTGCAATAATGCAGAGTAATAGTGAGAACACTTTAAAATAACTAAACTAATGCCCTAGGATTTTAAATAAATTATTTACGTACTTTAAAGTTGTGAACATCACGACGAGGGAAAAGGCGCACTGAAATTTCTAATGCAACACTAAAGCAGTAACTTTGAAGCAATAGCATTAATCTATGAAGGTTTTCTTTTTTTACTTAACTTTTACTTAAACTTCCTTCGAATTTGTACTAAAAGATCTGTGAAAAATGAAAATATATAAAATTCGAACAATTTATACAATATACTTCTATCAAAACAGATATTGATTAAACTCAACGTTATAAACTAAATACAGTTGTAATTAATAGACGCTTAAATATACATTTTATGTAATATTTTGTGATGGCGTCCAAAAATCGAATATGCAATTTTGATTATGCAATTATTTTAAAGTATGTGTTGAATTCAGTTTTTCATACCCATCGACGGAGTAGAAGATGAGGAGTATGTACAAATTCTAACACTTATGTGTTAAAGCATAGGCGCATCTAATGCGATCGGCCCTTAAGATGTGAACCCGCGACTATTAAGTTGTCCGTTGAGCTTCTTTGCCTACGTGGCTATTCAAGTGGATCTTATTGTTGTAACTTACAAGTGACGAGCAGAAAATCTATTAATTTTCGTTTTGGGCAAACAAGCTGTTCTTACTTGACGTTGTACTATGAGCTTATTTTTTGACCTGTTTGGAGGAGCATTCTCACCAACAAGCTGCGTTGAAGAACTTCCAATGTTCATAACAAATTTGAAAGCAACATCTTCACGGGTGCGACTAGGAAATGCTAAACATAAACATCACACGCAGGGACATATGCTGACTTGCTAATATCCATTCAGTTTTTGGTGCTGGTCAAGTATCATATAGGTAGTGGGATCTCTGCAGCTTTCTTCTGGGCACTACAAATATTTTGAAAAAAACAATGAAATTTTGATTTCTTTTGTTATCAGGTGGGCATCGCCGATTCTTTCCATTTTTGCGAAGATATTATAGTATCGCCCATAGCATATATGTGGAAAATTTTATAATTTTATTTGCTCAGTACTAAATAAAAACTAAAAATTGGAGGTGTTCTCAGTTTATGTTACATTGTAGGCGGGTCCTTGAACCAATTTAATCCATATTTAATACCAATCTGTGTGCAATAACTTCCAATGGTTTTAGCAAATGTGAAATCTATCATCACATAGGCGGATACGCGGATATACTTAAATCGATTTGGAATATGAGGCTTTAGAGGGTCTCCACAGCCTCCACAAGGCTGCTGCAAGCGTCTTTAAAAATGAATATACTCTCATCCTTGGGCGTGATGTATGAATCGTTGAATGTCATATTTTTCTTTTTTTTCTTTTTTTGTGTAAACATTAAAACTAAGTTACCTTCTTATTTATATGTGAAAAGGAAATAACCGAGTGGTCAAAAAATAATTTAATATATTAATATGTTTATTAGCATATATATATGTATATTAATTTGATGTGTAAACAAATAAAAATATAATCCTGCTCAATTTAAAAGAGAACAGTGTCTGACGATCCGTCCTCGTCGACGGCATATGAGCAACTGCTTACTTTCCTCTCTCTTTTGCCTTACCTATGTATATAGGGAAAGAAATTTACGCTATTATAAAAATGTATATCTTAAGACACGGTTTCGACTTAGCGCGGCATATTCCTGTGATTTATACGGTATCAACATTTAAGTGACCCATTTGATAATTTCAAGTGACGCACTTTAGTTCCGAAAATAACGTATAATATATAAAATAAAGTACAAAACATAGACATGAAGCAAACATTTTGCGAATAAAAAAAATTGAAAATAGAAATTAAGAACAATCTTTCAGTTCGATTACGATGTTTATGTGTATATAAATGTTTATGCGTGCATATATGAAAAATTTTAAGACGAAAATATCTCTGACCCAAATGTATCTGCAATACTCACATTTTGGTTGGTTTTGAACCGACCCCTTAATTATATCTTAGTGTAAGCAATAATAAATAAAAAAACGTTCATATAACACGGTTTCGATATAGCAAAATATGAATTAACGGTGTTGTAGAAGAAGTACTTGGAAAATTAACACCCATTGTAATAGCATATTGGATAGATTGTTACTTATGTAAGACTAAAGACAAAATTTTTAAGAAATGGGAAGAGAGGCACAGAGTGCGTCCGAATGGTGGAAGGTGCTAAGTCTTCACTGTTAGCGGCATTTGCTATACTTGCGGCCAAAATGCAGGTATGCCGTGTCGCGTTTCTTATTTCCTAGACGATGCGGATTGAAAGAACTTCGAGGGAAAGTTTTAAGACATGCTTGCAAGTGAAGAATTTATATAGACAAAATGTTTTTCGATTTGTATATCTGTAGGTTGCAATTACTTAAAATCCATTTTCTATCGTGTGGCGTGAAAATCGTTTTTAAAATTTAAGTGAAAAAAAAACGTATTTATTGCTTTAAATTTGTTTGCTTTGAATGAAACGTTACACATAACGGCTCATATAGTAATTTATTATTTGGCATATCCGTAACTTCGAAAAGGGAATGAGTACCGTTTAGTTCAAGTGTTACGTTCCGCGTCTGTAACTGTGAATAAAGAAAAATTTAACAAATTTATATATGTAAAATATGAGTCGATATAATAAATAAGTGCGCAGAAGATGCATGCAACACAGCCATGCGGATACATACCTCACTATCATTTATATTTTCTAATGTATTGCTATAGAAATTGAATCTTAAGTTCTTGTTTCTATTGATAATAATATCGCGGACATTGAGCTTCAAAAACGCCTCGTTAAACTGGCACAGTGCAATACTAATTAATTCCAGATGGGAGCAACCGCTGTACAATAGTCGCTGTATAACCGACACATCCAATTCGCAAGCATTAAAGCTTAGTTCACGCAGCTGGGTCAATTGATGTAGACTATCAATGACATTAAGCGGCAACGCGTTGACGTCATTGATTATGACTAATTTTTCAACGTTCATGTTTAAGTTGAGGCAATTTATTAGTATGTGGTTTATATTACTGGTTTCCAATGCCATTATTTCTAAATATTTCCATTTTGATAATAAGACATCAAATATCTGTTGTGGATTATAACGATTGGTTAAAATTAATTGTTGCAGAGCTGGCAAACGTTCGCATACGAAATAATAAAATTCGTATGTATTCAGTTTTAAATGCGTCAAATTTTCGACATAAGACGTTTGCAAATCTAACCCGTTAAATATATCAGTGGCTTTATAATTTGGAAATATATTCAATTGCAATTTCTCCAATTTCAGCTTATCCATAATTTCGGCGAAGGTAAGCGGGTTCAGTTTGCAGCAATAACTAAGAGATAGATCGGTTAGCGAAGGCCATGATTTTATGTGTTCACCGGTGAAATTTCCATGAGGACTGAAACTACGCAAGTTTGGAAATAGATCCGCCAGATCCTTTATGTCATTATCATTCATAAAATAAGGCGACAGTTGGGTGAAACGGAAATTCCATGCTTTTACATATCTAAATTTCTTTAGAGTCTCATATTGAAGCTTATTAAAAAATCGAAACTCCATTATTTCCACCGTCTCACATATAGCCGTCAAAAGAATTTGAAGTTCGTGTGAAGACAATGGTTGTTTTAAAAAATGACATTCGCAATGTTTATATTTCCAAATCCAATATCTTTTAACGGCTTGACTTAAGTGCGTACAAATTTGTTCCAACGAAATCTGATCTTTGAGATTAAGATAGCTGAAGATTTGAAAAAGACAGTCTTCGTTTAACGTATCCATAATAAACTGAAAATAATAAAATTGCCTTGAAAAACCAAATAAAGCCAAATTTTGTAAGAATAATATACTCTGCCCCAAAATATGATTTACATTTTCAAAAAAATTATACCAATTGTCGTGAATGCTATTTTACATTGAAATTTTTTATATTCAACAAGGAAAAGCAATTTGCAACAATTGTAGCAGCAATTATACTTTCACCCAACACAGGAAAAAACTGGAGATTTCTCAGAAGGACATCTGCAAAAGCACTTTAATTTCCGACGCATCGTCAACAGCGTTCATTTGTTGTGTTAACAATAGAAGATGATCTAGTAGCTGGGTTTGAAGGTTTAAAATTTTAGGCTGCGAATTTCTGCTTTACTCAATCACTTTTTAATCTTATGAACTTATTTATATCTTTGTCGTGGAAATAGTTTCTTTTAGGCATATCCACTTGGTATAGCAAACTGTTAATGAAACGCCGCCTCTTTATTTCGAGTCTAGTTTAGAATTTTGTCTATTGCTGAAAACCTCATATTTTGAGTATTAGAAGAAGTTGGCTTGAATGATGAAAGGCCTTCAACATTAGAATCGCTACCTGTTTTTTTAGCAGATGCTGTTAAATTCAACAGTTTCGGGACAAGCTTCACTGTTATTTGTTTCGTGTTCATTATTAATATGATTATAATTTTAGAATAGAAAATTAGATTTTGAGTTTGATATTATAGCTTGAACAAAGTGATATGTTAAAGTAGTATTGCATCCTGTCTCTAAAACTAATTGTTCCGAATACAATTTTTCTAATAAAGGAGAAGTCATAAAGAATGCGATTTATTACAAATTGGAGAAGAAGACTTCTTTAGGATCCACTGCCGTGTTGCAATTGAGGTTGTCAATATTTGTTGAATATATTGATAGAACTAGCGGGACGTTAACAGAGGACTATATCTGAGGACAGCATTGTGGATTTGCTTCCATAATTTTCTCTTTCATTTTCCTTCGTCCATAATTAGAGCTGCAAAAGCAGTAGGCTTCGCCGCTCGATCAGCTTGCTCATTCCCCAACAAACCGATATGACTAGGCACCCAAAGGGGTTTTATTTTATTATCTCGGTTTATGGTAGCGTCCTTTCGCCTGCTAAGGGTGCTCCGGCTCGAACTAGGCAGATTCCGGATAGGTTTTAACACAGACAGAATATCAGTGACAATAAAAGTTTTGAGCTTATTTTTATGAACAAGGCAAGCAAGGAGGGGACAGTCCTGGCTCCGGTTGTGAAAATTGAAGCACTTTCGTGAAGTATGTGAGGAAGCAGAATATGCGTTGAAGCATCTACCATAGCAGCTTGCGGACATCAGATTCAAAGCCGCTAAATACGGTCGATGGAAAAATTTTGAGTATATCATTAGTTTTGTGGAATTATCTCCGATTAATGAACTTATTCTCCCGCTCACTTATCGGTACAATGTATTTTTCTCGGGGATTTTCTTAGATGCTTATAGATGAATTTTAAGCTTTAAAAAATCGTACACATTCACAAATATATGTATATTAATCTGGAAATTGTTGATAAGTATAATTCGATGCACATTTGTATCCATGTCTACGGTGGATTACAAACAGGTATGTAAATGATTCGGTTTATCTTGAACTTTCATGCGTTCATTTAGAATAGAAATACGTGTATCTCGGACCATTACTACACTGAACATAAGTGGCATGCCTTTGTAGGCAGACATATACACGTGGATGTTTTAAAGTAGGTTATTGGCTCAAATCAACTTCTTATATACAAAAGCGCACACAAAAAGGCTCACACGTTATTTGCGCAAACAATCGCTTAGCGCACATGTATGTATGCGTTCGGTTTATGGACAAATACGTTTATTTGTAAATACTTTTAGATATATATTATAAATGTTGTTATCTACGAAGACTTGTTTTGTTATGTTTGCTTTAGAGATAAAAATAGAGATTTGCGTGTCGCCTTGAATGCATACATAAATACAAATTAAACTTTAGACTTCTACGATGATAGGAGGAAATAGTTCACCTTTCTTTCACTTTATCATAAGACCGACATATTTATGAGAAAATTAAATCGCGACCTTTTTGTGGCCTTAGTAAATTCTAAAGTATAACGGCGCACAGGGAGCATATATACATACGAATCTTCTGTGCAAAATCTAATCAAATTGTCTTTAAAGATTCGGAGCACGTGGCCTCATTCGTCAGTAATTAAAATTTCAACAGTTCAGTGTGAATCCTGAGACGCTATTCTTTCTAATTCTTGTCCTTCACTTTTTGTTTGATCATCTCACGTTTCTAAAACAATTCAAATCACTGCACACATCCTGGCTCGAATATACTTTAAGATCTACTTACTAGCGGCATTCTTTCAGTGTAATAGAGTAGCACCTATCTGTTTTAATGGCTCAAAACCACAGACTTTTCAAATAACCATATACAATGAACTAACTCATAATAAACACCGTGTGGAATTGCATAATCAGCGGAAATGATGCGCAAAATATAGTATAGGCAAAGTAATGATTGATGATGAAGTGAATTGATTAATGTCAGTGTAAGCATAAAGTTTTTTTCATAAGATTTATTCTAATTTGGCCGGTGTTTCAATTTGTTGAACCCTAGCATATAGATATGAAACGGTAGATATTTGGCACATAACACGAAAATTGTTTTTGACGTTTTTACTTAACATCCAATTGACTTATGTACATTTCCTCTTGTATATTCCCATAGGAGAATAAAGCATAACACTCAATAAGGCTCCCGTAGAACGGACACTTATTGAATGTAATTGTATGTAATGGCTAAGACTTAAGAGTAGTTAGGATAAATGAAATTTTAGTATTGTCAGTATTCCTGGAACATACGACGTTTCCACAAAATTTATCAAGATTTGAATTTTGCGACGTTTGTGCAAAAGATTGATTAAAAAATTTAAGTAGATTGGACCAATTTAACAGGGCTTGCGAGGAAGAGAGCGCTTTTAAACACTCCGATTGTCCTTCGACACAAAACGTCAAAATACTTCGTGAGAGTGTTGCTAAGTGTCTAACCTTTCGAGAAGCTGCCTATACCGTCTTCTCACAAACAATTTGTATATTCATGCTTACGTAGTTCAGTTGATTGAAGAATTAGATTCTAATGGCCACGAACATCATCATTTAAGCAAGGTGAAAAGGGCGCAAGGTCCAAAGTTCTTGACAAAAGTTGCTGACTAATAGTACAGGGAATATAAATCCTTATATGTCAAAAAGGCCTAATTGTTAATGAAAATTTATTCATGGTAATAATTTGACATGAAAATGAAGTGGACGACATGTGAACCACATGGCTCTAGAGCCCTACTCCCTTCAATATTTTGTGGTGCACATTTAGCAGCAATTTTGCAAACAAATTTGGAATTTGGACTTTTTAGCACCAATTTATAGGAATTACCTTGAAAAGCAAACCCTTATATGGAGGGAAAGTCCGATTTCTAGTTTTTTTTAACCGGAAAATGAAAAACCATAAACTTTAAGCAATTAAGTTAAATTTAGTAAATCTGTTTCCCGCCACGTGATGTTTTGAATATGCTCTAATTTACTGGCTTTCATGCAAAGTATGACCCTGCACGGAATTAATGTTTAATTTTCGATGTATTATTATCAAAATGAGCGAATAATGATGAATGAACTTTCTCATGAACAAAGCAAATTGGTGTACAGTACTATAACGTCCTTACCTGTTTTCTATTAAAACGGTTTTTTGCGGGAATGTTGGAATACCCTATATTAAACTGGCTTTCATTTGAGATTATTTTCGCTCAAGAAATCGAATGACAATCAGTGCACCCTAAACCCTCTAAACGCTCTGTAGGCGTCAAACTTTTAATTCAGTGCGTATGAAGTCTGCAAATCTTCGCGCTGCAAGGGAATATTTTAATCGATCCGAATCGATTAACGCTATGAAGAACTGTATCGATCAGCAGTATACAACTTTCCAATAAGACAAGACTTAAGACAATTTTTGCTATAAAGGTAAATTTGTGGGATTTAGAAAGCCTTTTCATATTACGACTTCGTTTGTGATTACGCTTAGTTCCCTCATCCACGGCTCGTCTATCGTTGTGTATGATGTCAGGCAATAAAAAAAACAAAATATTGGAAAGTTTTTTACTGAGACGGTTTTAGGTGCTCACTATACAAGACAAAATTAAAGCTATTAAACCCGCATGTTTTTCAACAGCAAAACATTTAAAAAAATGTTATTGTGAAAAGAGTGGAAAAGACTTTCTGTGTTCGGTGCATAATATGTTAGTGTGAAAAATGATAAGGCCCGCTCATTTAATTACTCTCATATGACTGTGAATCGAAGTGGTTCTCAGGGCCGCTCATTTAATTACTCTCATCTGACTGCGAATCGAGGTGGTTTCAGACAAAAAACAAAACTTTATTTAGACTTATTTACCTTAAGATTAAGATGATTAAAGCTTTTTTTGAAATTTTTATTTACCACTAATTTTTTTTTCGATATGAAAATGCATTCCTACTTGATAGCCATGCATGTTTATTGGTGTTGGTGAAAACTTTTGCTGGTGCTTTCCTTTTTGTGGCCACATATCCCATAAAGACACGTTCTGCCAAAAGCATATTCTTTGTCATATCGATATCCTGTATGTGCGTATCTATGTATGCAAGTTTACCTGATCCGCTTCGTAAAACACGTAATCCATCTGCATGTATATATGTATCTTTACCATTGGTTGGCTGTTAAAAGGTTTGTATGCATTTGTCTACGTAGTGCACAAAGTAAGTACATACGACAGTGTAAATTTTGCTGGCTTAAAGATTCTATTCTTGATTGTGCAATGAGGGCAAAGGGGAGAGCACATGAAATGAGAACGCAAATAAATAAAACTGGTTGCAGTCAGGTTTCAGGTCTTTCTCTTCTTTCGTTTCTTTTTCTGTTGGATTATTCGATTCTGGTTCTTTATTAACAAATCTAAAAGCGATGGGGAGAGAGATAAAGAGAGAGCGAGAGAGGGGCAAAAAAAAAATAGAAAGAAAGAGAGAGTGAGAGAAGGAGTAAGAGGTGAAGTGGTTAACAACGTGTCAGGGAGAAAAATTTTCATAAACTAAGATATTGCAGTAAAAGTGGGTTGTTGCAGATTTAATAGCGATTCGTTCTTTTCACTCTGCTGACGCAATCTCACTTTCCAAATAGTGGCCCATAAGAACAATCTGTCTACTGGAGTAAGGTGTGGTCTGCTGTTAGCTGTGTTAAGTAAGCAGTTTTTTTTTTTTTTGGTATCAAGAGTTGTTGGTATGCTCTTGTTTATTTACTTACGTTGCATACATGCGTATTCCTTTTCATGTTGTGGCCGTTCGTGGAATTGTGCAATTTTCTTTTTTATTTCTTTTTTTTTTTTTTTAGTGTGGTTTGCTTTATGCAGTTCATTCCGTTAGATACTGTGGCACTGGGCCATTGTGTATGCGTTCATACTGTTAATGAATTATTCAAGAAAAGGCGCGAAAGTTATCTTTTCCTAAAGAAATTAGGTTATGGGAATACAGCATAACTTAGTCTACGTTTTCGCGTTGCGAAACGGGTGGTATGGCTTATGAATAAATACTAAAATTTTGAAATGACAATCTCGCAATTATGACCGCGATTTTTTTTACTAGTTGCACATTATATACGAGTTATTTTTGAGGATGTTGGCAATGCGAACACTTGAATGAAAATGGAATCGACTGGAGTGCAAACTGGATAAGTAAAGTTTTTCAATTAATTTCCTAAAATAAAATTCATCTTCTGCATGGAAGAATTGATTAGTACTGGCTTGTCAACTAATCCTCCATCAGGATAAGATCATAGCATATTTTATCCGCCCATACTTCCATCACTATCTCTCACCACTATGTTCCTTTTGTTTTTATTCCCTTAGGCAAGAAACTGAAATTTGACGGTTATTATACCAATGAAAACAACCCCGATTCGATAATGCGATAAATGCGGCGGCGGCGCTATCGTAGCTCTGTCTTGTGCATTTTTTCTCTATAACTCATAAGTATCAGTTATCGAAATTCGCTGATGAATAAAGATCAATTAAGACTATTTAAAATTCCAGGACAAAACCGCATATCCTCACAATTCGCTTTTGATGAAAGATATCCGAAAGCCAAATTATCATAAGAAACCGATTCTTCGATACAAGGTGCTATAAGCAAGTGCTTTAAAAATGTATGACTACGGCTGGTGACGGTAAAGAAAGATATTCAACCATTCTTCATGGATGGTTAAACTCAACGAAATAATGAGTCTTTCCAAACGTTAACTACGTTCCAATAAATGGCAGAAGCAACAAATTTCTTGGCGAGTTACTCCACAGAGTCCATGGAGTTTTCTTTCTTTTCACTTACATTTATAGGGTATCTAGTTAGCCTGCAGAAATGTCCAAAATGTTCTTGTACGGGCTGCATTTTCTTATTCGAAACTTCAGGAACTGCTAAAAATACAGGCATGAGTCTATTGGTTCAAGTCACGAAAAACGGTCTTTTCGAGATGGTTCCCTTGAAGGTGGTCCGAGTGTACGCACGCAAAGTGTAATTTTCTTCTTTTAGTTAAAAAAAAGGTGAATTTAATTCTTTCCATATTTTTCGTTCTTTTTTATCTTGTACATGCCCTCGATTCTCAATTTCTTCGATTCATCAAAAAAAAAAAAAAAAATACAAGAAAGGAAAAAAGCAACCTTCAAAAAAAGTTCAAAACCTTAGTTTTCAATAAGAATATAAGCAGTCACCCTTTGCTACTTGATTCAAATGGTCTTGAGACAATTCAACACATTCGTTGCCATTGGTACCACTTTTAGCAGACGTTAAAATTCAATTGTACGTTAAGCACAATTTTTTAGATTAAAATATAGAATCTAGAAACTAATCGCCATTATCATTATGTGAAGCTTATGTTTATTCGGAACAGCATGGCAAAGTATGTATTATCTCTCATAAACCCCAAAAAAGAAATATCCATAAAAATTTATTCAATTTGTTAGCGTGTGTCGAAAACGGTATATGTGTACTGATAACAGTGCATAAAGTGCACGTTTCCGGGATGTGTCAACGATGTCTGCTCAAAAGCTGCTTGACATCAAACGTATTAAGAAAGCCTTTTTTACGGTCTAACATCATTGGCTAAGCAGGCGAAAGATCTTCTTTTGAAAGACTTTATAAAAAAAGCTCTTGTAAATGAGCAGGAACTCAAGATACGTACGTAGTTAGCAGCGTAAGTGCGTGAAATTTTTATGTTAAAAAAAGTCTACATCATAGCATCGCATGGTACTACGATTATGACAACATCAGTTCATAAAAAGTAGATGATTTTAAAAATTGCAACGAGTGGTCAACGCGATTAATTACATTACATTTGTTACATTGTTCATTGTTTTCATTTATTCGCTCGTACTCACATACAGTGCACATATCGATTTTTAATCGTCTACCAGATTATTGTCAAATCGTTGCCGGCGACTTCTCTTTACTGTTTGATCAAAATTATAGTCAAAGTTACAAACGTTCATTTTCTTGTTTCCCTTGAATGTGAAAACAAAGCAAATGCTCTGTTCAAATTACTCTGTTGTCAGTTTTCAAATGCGCACACTCGCACACACAATCACTACTACATATAAATGTTCAAAGTTTAAATGGTGGAAAAATAAACTGAAAACCTTGAAATGCAAACATTTGACTAATTGTTTAGAATTAGTTTTTCTGTTTCTGTGTTTATGTAAATGAGCAAAGAGAAGAAGGAAACAACAAAAAAAGCACAAGCAAGAAAGTCATATTTTCAGTTTACAGCGAAACTTGCGTGCCCACCATTATAACAGAAACAAAAATAGATAAATAAAGAGATAAGATAATGTTACTTGCTTTCAAGTAATGTGACTGAATGCAAACAAAAGTTGAACTAAGGAAATTGGCGTAGCGTTTGAACCCTTTAAACGCTTAATGCTTCACAAAGTAGAACAGTTTTGTGGACGAAAAAACTACTTAAGAAATTGCGTTGAATATTCCCCAGTCATTTGGGGAACTGATAGATAATTGTCGTCTCTGGAAAAAAAATCCATATTATGCTTGGAAAATGCATATTATGCTTGAGCGACGCCTATTAGAATTTCATATCTCTTCGATTACATGTCCACCAGGTGAAATACCTTTATTGTGACGCTATTTTTCTCAATTTTAAAATAATGAAAAACTCCGAATTTAATGTGTTGATTAGACAATGCCTTTTGATGATAAAAAGCGTTGAAAACAATAACTTGCCCGTGGTTTGTGGATTTGAAACGAGGTGGTAAACTGCGAAGAAGAATGGTTTTGCAGCAAAACTGTAAAAGATAGCTGACATCCTAAAGAAATCAAAAGACGTTCTATTCATCATTTCGTACGGAAAAGATATTTCGCAATTAGTCTTTACAGTCTTTGTTGATTGTAGAACAACAGCACCAAGCCACAAGTCAATGAGTGCAATTATAAAATCGCTTGATTTGAAGTTCGATTTGGTGCCCGTAGTGGCAACTGTTATCTGCTTACAAACGTCAAAAGGATGCTTCAGCAAAAATAGTTGGAAACAAACGACGACATCATTGCGGAAACTAACGCATGTCTTGAAAATCTTGATAAATGGTTCTGTATAAAGAGACATCGAATTGTTAGAGATGAGGTGAACTAATTGCATCTTGAAGAAGACTATACTGGTGGCTAACGATGAACTTGACAAAAAAAATATCTTATGTTACTTACTCCCGGGAATTATTGCCTCCACTATTATATACATAGTCGGGTTTTCTAATTTCTTCCTGAGCGTAACGCTGGGCGCACTCATAAGAAGCTATCCGCAAAAAGAGGCCAGAATAGATTCAAAAAAGCCAAAAAATTAAATGGCCTTCACTTTGTGGACATAGATGTATATATCAATTATCTCTTCAAGGATGTATGTGGTCAGATATCGTGAATTTGTCACTTTCTTAGCTCCTTAGTAGATTTTCAAGTATAACTTTGAGTATAAGCCCGCTTGCCTAGCTAACGAACTGTGCGTCAACTTTTATTGTTCTATTTCATTTCGTCCTCACGTAGGTAGACGTGTAAACGTATGTAGCTAAACCGAGTCAAGAATTGATCGTTGTATGCAATATTTTTAAAAATTTATATAAATTGTGATACTAGGTGTTACAGATATCATAAAATATTAATACAACTACCTTGTACCTTAGTAGCATGCATAAAAAATAAGTAAGAAAACTCAGCATAAGACGAGTGCTGAGCAATCTAGATTTTAATCAAATCTGTATCAATATTGCTAAAGATTCTATTGACATCTCAACAGATCTACTATAGTAGGGATAATAATAACAACTAGGTCTTGGATAAGTTTCTGTTAATTTTAAAATTTCCCAGAATTCAAAAACTGAACCAAACCATTTTTACAGTGTCGCTTTGCTGTAGTGGATTAACAATTATGGTAGCCTTTTTCCAATTAGGGATGTATTTACACCAGAAGTTTGCTTCTCTGGACCTTCGACGAATTTCTAACGCAGTCGTGAAATCTGATGGGCTTTATATCAAGTAAGATTTTGAATTAAGATTTATGCCTAAGTCTTTCCTACAATTTTAGAGATAAGCGTCTGATCTGGATCGTTTTAAATATGCTTCAATATGCTTTTTGTGTATCAGTTCGTAATATTACTTACATTATAAATACATATTTGATACATATTTAGTGATCTTCGGTTTCTGACAAACTGAACAACAATTTTATTTTACTCTGGTCTCGTGTGTGAGTATAAAATACAATTACAATTACGTTTCCCTTCCATAGAAAGATCAAAGTGAATAAAGCGTCATTGTCTTTGCATTACTATCAAAAAGAAGCGAAAACGATAAAGTGAAACGAAAACTTTTAAAACGCACACAATCATTATATCTCATATATGTGTGCATATATATATATATATATATATGCATTTATAATAATATTTAAACGCATAAATACGTGAACTATATATATATATATATCTATTTGTTTGCATGAGCTCGTATATTACATACTCACATATATAATAATACTCTCATTATGTACATATATAACGAATGTTAGTTTTGTAAATAATTCTTTGATTTATGTTACGAGCTAAACATTATTTTTTGTGTAATTTTACTGCACGGTTACGCGAGAAAATAAAGAAAGTAAGAAAAAGTTTTGCATATAGAACTAAACTCCTATCTTTCTTAATAGTATTTAAAAAATTTGTTTTTCTTTTTAATTTTGTTTTTGTTTTCAATACATTTTCATAAGAAGTTCATGTATGTGCGAAAGAATAGATATGGATTGAGCCACAAAGAGTCCGATTTCCTGGGAAAACGATTGTGAATGGATCTCAGCTTGTCTGGCCTTAATCTTATTTAGTTTGCGAAATGCTGCTTAATTCATTCGCTACTAGCTCTCTTACCACAGCCCATTTATGCTTCGATTTAAAAGAACGTTTATTTTACTTTTTATGCCTTACCTCATATCTGGGGCAAGTGTTTGCAAGGACATATGCAACACCCAGACGAGGTTAAAATAGACGTACGTTTCAATATACAAATCGGATTAATTTTTTGAATCGATTTAAGCTTGACTGTCCATCTTGTTTTCTTGTGTCCAGTCGACAGGTCGCAAATTTTTGAGATGCTTTGGATGAAGAACGAACGCTATGGAAAGCGTGTGGATCGATGTTTTTTTTGACCACTCCATATTTAAAAATTGCAATTTTCACAATTTTCCGACAAAGCCCGCTGCGTAATAGTATTTTGACATTCTAAATTAGTACAAAGCATTTGATTCGGCCGAGGCAATTTTTTGAACCCATCTCATATATAAATTGAAGTTTTATATGGTAAAAGGAAGTCATTCCAATAGATTCATAATAGTAAATTGACAAAGAAATCAATTTTACCGAATTTCGACCACGAAGGTCTATTTCTGGGTTACCACCGCATATAAGGCTTCTCAGGAAATGTAAATCATCTTATGACCAAAAACCCTTATCTGTAACGTTTTACGTTGAAAGTTTGCTTATGGCAGTAATTTGACATGAAAATTAAGTGAACTAAAGTTGAATCATATGGATTTATTTTTCCAACCCCACTCCATGTAAGATTTCTCATGAAAAGATTTCTTCAGAAAACGGTTTAATTTTTGTTATTTTCTGATCATGGTTGATCTATAGTAGGAACCTAGTATAAAAATTAAGGGTATGCAATTCGGATCACATAGATCAATTTTTTTAACTCCTTTGGATATCGTCAAATATTTACGGGTTTTCTTCAATATTCGGGCTCTCATGGAAAGTACGATTGAGCATGAAAATATGTACTTGTTGGTGTATTATTACCAAACCAAGTGGATAGCAGTACTATAAGAGTTGATGTGGGGTATCTAATGATCGGCCTTGTCCGGCCTCCGATGTTCTTATTGATTTTTCTATTAAAATCATAATTTTTCTGTATAAAAGCTTAAAAGTCATTCCACCGCATTAACGGCAAGCGTCATCGTTTCAGTTTTTGAGTTATTCGATTTTACTTGCCCTTGCAGGTATAAATCGTTCCACAAAAAAAATAAATCGCGCAGTCGATACATTCAAACCCTTCGTTAAGACTTTTACTAATTAAAGCTATATGTTCATCAATCCTGATGCTCGTGTGCTCGTCAATGTTGTGAGTTTTCAAATATTTTCAGAGGACTTTACAAATGTTCTTCCATCGCGAGAACTTAAGTTTCTGTAATGCTCTAACAATCGAACTGGGCGTTTGATAAAAGATTTGGATAATACTTGGATATTTGATTTGATTGATGACTAAAAAACGTTCAAAGAAACTAGAATAAATGTTATGGAAAACTTTATGAAAAAGTTAAGAACATTGTATGAGAAAATATCCTTGAAGCAATTTGCCTGAATTATGTAAGATAACGTTGGCCAAACATCTTCCCCTGGCTAATTTGATGCGATTGGAGAAAATTGTGCAAAGTGACCTAGAGAGGGCAAGAGAGGG